CCTGGCCCAGCCCCCCTGCTGGGAAGAGGCCAGCAGAACTCTAGGTCTGGCTGTGCAGCAAGCAGCCCACCCTCGCCCTGCACACAGATCCAGGGGTTACATACTCCCCGTACCTCCCCTGGGGGTGCACCCAGCAGCTGGAGCTGCCTCCCCTCCCTGTGACCTCTGGATGAGCTGTCCATGGCTCCTTCCGGTGCCCCACTCCACCCCAGCTGGGTGGTGCCTACCCCTGCCCCAGCCCTACTCCTTCCCTCACCATGGGAACCTTGATCTGTCCCCCCTATGCCTCTTCCCCCACAACAGACTTACCAACCAGATGCTGCTCACCAAGCTGCCGGGTTGCATATCAGCAATCATATCAGTATCAGCTGATATGCCTGGTTAATAATTGGCCCCAAAAATCATTATTGGTGCACCCCTAATCACTGAGGGCCCTGATACAGCAAAACTGAGGTTCTACTGGGGAATGGATAGGGGCAGGGCAGGATTTGCTCACATGGTGTATGACTTCTTTACCTTCTGTCTTAATTCTGAAGAGCTCTAGTTAGTAAACATTCTCTGTGCCCTAGCATATCAGAAGAATCATAGAACCAAGAGCGAGGACAGATAGCACTGAGTAGTCCCTTTGAAAATGGCAAGTACATTAGCCTGCAGTACAGTCCTAAGGCTTCATCAGTGGGTGCCATGTAGCCATAGCCAAATCCAGGGCTTGTAAAAGGGGTGTGTAGGAGCAGCGACTGGTGCTGCAAGGGTGGCTGCACTCTTCTTTGCCCCTCCTCACACTCAACCTCCCCCAACACCTGAGTAGCCAGATCATGCTGCAGGAGCAGCAGATGGGGATTTTTTTGAAGCCCCATAATCAGTTAAGAATCCACACAACAGGTCTTGGCACCACCTACCATCTGTTCTTAGTGGCACCTCCTCCCCTTCTCATTACTACCCTTCCCCTGTCTATTTACACCTCTGGGGACAGGAGGGGGAGACCTGCCCATCAGCACCACTGTCCTGGCTACTCCTGCCCCATCCCGGCCACTCCTGCCCCATCCTGGCCGTGGTTGTGGGAAGTGGCTGTGCAGGGAGCTGGGCTCATTTAGGGACAATAACAGCAGCAGAGCAGGTTCCCTCTCCCTGTGATCATGAGCTGGTGGGAAACACCTTGGGGTGACCTGTCAGGGAGGTGAATCCCACCTTCCACCAGTACTGCTGTTGAGCCCAGCTCGATACAGCCATTGCCGGAATGGGGCAGGAGTGATTTTATGGCTTCCCCTGCTCCTGGGTCAGTTGGGAACTGGTTGGATCTGCCCTTCCTGTGCCCAGAGACATAAATAGAGAGGGAGAAGAGCGGGTGGGGAAGGGAGGTGCTGCTAAGCATGGAAGGCAAAGGAGGGGGTGTCAAGACAGGGTAGTGCAAGATTTTTACCTCTTTCAGGGACTTAAAACAATCTCTGGCTGCTTCTCCTGCAGCATGATTTGGACTCTGCAAGGTACCAATCATCCAGGGCTTTGAGGAACCAGAGCCACTGAGCTACACTGCGGAAATGGGGGATGTGACTGTGTCATGAAACTACCTTGACACTTTTTTGACCCATAAGTGATGGAGATAAAAATCTTTCCCCTCCTCACTTTGAAGTTATTCTTGTGCCTGAGAATTTGCAGGATTGGGACTTTGATCTTGTAATTTAACTATTCTTAATTTAAATTGCACAATAGGAAGTTTTGGTAAAAATAATCCAAGTATAACTTACAGAAAGATCACACTTTCATTCAGAAATCCTGTCTGAAGTGTGGGACACATAACTGAGAGAAAAAGGTAATTAACATTCAGACCTTTTTATACCATTTTAAGTAATGTGCTTTATCCTGAGAGTCAATAACTAGTGACTAATTAGTTTAATAGCAATTGCTGCATTACTAAGATACAATTAATGAGGACCATTTGGAAAATGAAAACTTAAAAATGTGGAATGATTCTAGTGTACAACACTTTCTGGAACTTTTCTAAATAAAGGGGTATTTCAAGTGGATATTATTTCTTCCAAAATCCTATTTTAAGAACATTCTAAATTTGCTTTTAAAAACAGACAAGTCTTTGGGCAAACAGCCCTTACTCAGGACTAGGAAACTAGACATTTGTAGACTGTAGCAAAATAAGTAGCAGCCTTCGCAGTTGTTTCATGCTGTCCTAGCTCCCATGAGTCATTGGTGACTGGACTGGAGAGAGCCACAGAAAGTCCAACAAAAACAAACAGTAGATTGTGATACCTACTTCTTTGTGAATGATGAGTACCTCTGTTCTATCCAAAGGGATTTGGGGACTAGGTAGATTAATATTGAGAATACTTTTGTTCTTCAGGAATGTCCCTCCCTTGCTAGGTCTCTTGTAGTTTTTTTCCCCAGTGGAGATGGTAGAATTTCCTATCCTTCCATTGTTGTTTTTTGTTATTGTCAAAACTGCTTTTCATGGGGTCAGTTTGTGACTATATTTGGTAGAACAATCTCTGAATCTTTTTAGTAACCATGTAACCAGTTACTAGAGAAGATAAATTATATGCTAGTCAGTTACACAACTCCATATATATGGTGTTTAGAGTAATTGTATGCACAGTGAGCATCTATGATGAATTGCCTAGATTATTTCCCACAAAGAATAATTTAAAAACACATTGTTCATCTGCTACCTTCAAACCTGTTTGCAAAGAATGCACACAAGTGGTTTAAGCTAGGTTTAGGAAAAAAGAATCTCCCTGTAGCCTATCAGGTTGGTATGGCCAACCCCAAAGTGATTTATCTATTGAACAATAGCCCATTATATCCTCAGCATATCCCACTCCTTTTCTAGAAAGCCGTGCAGAGAGAAGAGCATTTGAACGAATGTACAGACTGTTCCTGTGTGGAAGAAACAAAGTGGTTTTTCATTTAGGATCTTTCATGCTCCCACAGGTTGTGAAGTAGAGGTCAAACAGTGGGCAGCATTTGGCACTACCTTACTAAAGTGACTACACTTGCCTATTGGGTACTCTTTTCAATGAACTTAAGAACTCCTGATAAGACAGTTCCATGAACATTCCAAGATTATCAGAAGAATTGCCTGGTCTACCATAAAAAAGAAAAAAGTACAGGCAGAATATGGCATGCAGAAGCAGTTTTATAGCTCCACCCATTGCAGCACATAAGTGACACAGTTACAGTTAACTTTGGATTATCAATCACTAGTTCCCAGCAAAATAGAGTAGATCTCATCATAGTACAGTTGTACTTTTGAGCTGCTTTCCTTTAGTGTGTCCACGCTCAGTGATGAGGCTGTCAGAACCAGTATTGGACATGGAAATGGCAAACTACAGTGAAGTGTTAGATCCAACGTATACTTCATTGGAGTTTGAAACTATGCAGATTCTGTATAATGGCAATGGTGAGTTCTCATCTGCTTGGTAATACAAAATCAAGGAAGAAGTTAACAGAAAAAGTAACATTGAATAATACTGTAAGGTGTTAGATTTGTTATTAATGTGGAATTTGGTTGTTTTCAATGCTACAAATCTGTTCTTTTATACTTCATCACTAACTCTAAAGTAATAAATTTATAACTCTTCTACATTAAAGAAAATAAAATACCAGTTGTGTGTAAGAAAGTGACTGACATTGTCATCAGTCAATTAATCAAAGGAAATGGGTATGTTCAGGAATTGTTTTATTTACTGTAAGACAAATGAATAACTAGTATTGATAGTTTTTGGCCTGAATTTATATTTTGTATATAACGCTTAAAAAGAACAAAATAATCCAACGGTTTGTGAAATATGATTGGTTATGAAGAACATTATCTCTTTGTTTTTGATGTCATTTCCAATTGATGGACTGATGTTTTATTTATAAAATGTTAATCTGATCTTTCCAGATTGTGTACATGTAAATGAAAATGAGGTTATAATCACATTGACTCCTTGCAAGCTAATGTTTAGCAGGGAGAAGTTCCTGGTATTTGTCTAATGTAACATTTTAACTCCAGAGAGAGGTAGCTAGTTGCATTAGCCTGAAGTTAGGTTGGAGTTGTTTATGCTGTGGTTTTATGAGAAACTCAACTAATGAATTGTGACTCAAATATGTAGCATCCTGTATTTAACTTGACCCAAACTGAATATTGTCCAACAGATATAAAATAAATGTCAGTCTTTGAAAGTGAATATTTTAATTAAAGACCATTAATTATAAGTTGAGAACTGTTAATACACTTTTCCTTGCCTTAGTCATTGTTTTTAGTAAATTATGAAAAAGCAGAGCCACTCTTAATTTTTATTTTTAAAACTAGAACAAATATTTCATGATCTGTGGGAAGTTTCATTTGTATCTGTATCTTGTTCCCTATAACTTCTTTGTGAAAAATGCTCATACCGCATACCTCACAACATCCAATATAGTACTTATGCAGCCTTTTATAAGTGTGCCTTGAAACTTTTGGCTGAAATGCTGAAGTTATTTTGAAGCTAGGTTAAGTAACAGAAATATAATTTGGTCTTTGATTGCACTTAAGTGGAATTAAAGAACAAGAAAAAATTCTTCTTTAGCCATCTTAAATGAGTGCAAGTTTTAACAATAGTTTCTTCATGTTTGGTTCATTCTTTACTTTTTTAAAATATGTTTTAACAAGGATGATTTCCCTGGTACTTTTTAATTTTGGCTTAAAATTATTCCTTTACAAATCTGTTAATACTGTATGAAGGGGTGATGGAGGTCATGAGGGGATGGGGGTGGGGTTCTTCCTTGAAACACAGCTGGTTGAATCATTCATTATAAATGCTTAGTTAACAATTATTATTTGTTAAATGTGGTAGTTTTTTTCTGCTGGCAATTCAGTTATGAACTTCTGTTAAGTAACCGTTGGCTAATGTGTAAGTCCTTATGGCCAAGGCACTAGATTAGGACACGGAAAATGTGGGTTCATTTTGAAGTTCTGCTACCTATTCCTCTTCTGAACTTGAACAAATCTCTTAATTAGGGTTGGTAAAAGGGACTTGAACCACATTCAGGCAGAAAAAAAAACACTTTTCAAAATCAGGTCAATATCTCTTTTATTTTAGAAGAAAACTGGGGAACAGGGAGAAAAAAGAGGTTTGACACTATTATAACATTTTGCATTGACTTTTTTTTAAAAGAAATGTTTCAGCTTTTTTTCATTTTGAAAGGACTTTTCATTAATTTATTTGATATTATTTTACTGTATCATAATGCTAAATAAAAAAAAGCCTAAAGAAAAATGTTTCAATTTTGTCAAAACTAAACATTTCCATGAACCCCAAACATTAAAAAAAAATGTTTTTTTTCCAATTCAGGACAGAGCTGTATTTTCAAATATCTAAATTCATTTTAAAATGGAAATGACATCCTCTGCACAGCTTTACTTTTAATCTATGTGGGTACGTCTACATGTGCAACTAGTATGTCTAAATAAAGTCCAGCGCAGTTTGCACTGGAATTTATTGCTCATGGGTGCACTGTTTGCATGTGCACCCGGGACCACTGCATGTTGAACTGGGGTGGACGGCCTGTCAGTCTAGGGCTGCTCTGACCCAGCTCAACTTGCTGCAGAGGGGTTGGCTGGGGCTAGCGGGTAGGCAACCCCTGCGTTGAAGCACCCTCATGTCATAGCCAGGCCCATCAGTGTCTACATGTGCATTGCAGCTGAGTAAATAACTCTGCTATAGGATAGTACTTGTGTCTGGCAGTACTATCCTATGGCGGAGTTAATTATTTGACTCCGTCTTAATAGCACCACACCTGTAGATACTGACATTTTACTGTGGAGCTAATTAGATAACTCCATAGTAAATGTCTCATGTAGACCCACCCAGTATGTCTTAATTCCCTGTCTGTCAAACATGATTACTAATGCTCCCTTTCTTTCACTTTTTAACGTGTCTGTTTAGACTGTAAGTTGTTTTGGACAGGGTCTATGCTTTATTGTATGCACATGCAGCACCTTGACTATAGGACCTCAATCTCAGTGAACAAATAATATGTGTTAATGATGATAGTTTGCGTGAACAACTTTAGCTTATGGATTGCATGCCAATAATTCTGCGTCAGCCTTTCAGCAAACTTTACTTGCAAGAAAATATCATTAAAACAATGCTCACCATCCAGTTTTTCCATGTAATTCTATTGAAATTTTCTCTTTATGCCTTTGTCAAAAATAATTTATATTCCTTGCAGAGAAGTGACCATAGTTGCTGAATGTTATAAAAAATAATTTATGTTTCATCAGCTAACCAGAAAAAAATATTGTCGTGTCAATCTCTGTCTTGCTTATTTGTTAGCATGAATATTTCACTGAATACACACAATACAGTTAAGTATTTTTATACTTTAACTTTCAAGTACCTTCTTTAAATCTGAAAGAGTTTTTACACTTTCAAGTAACTGCTTCAAATCTGAAAGAGTTAAGACAAAAAGTTGTTATGAGTATGCTTTTATAAGTATTATATATTCTGCCAATCAGTGATAAGCTTGAAAGTGCTCTTTAGAACCACATGCCATTATGCAGAGGGTGTCTTTGAATTGTCGCTAAATAATAAAAGCCAATTTAAAGACATAAGGCCAGTAAAATCGCCATGTGAATGTAAATTTGTCCTGGTGTAGCAGTCATTTCACTGTTTAATCATAATTACATTTGTTGTGCTTGTCCTTCATCAGACAGTTCTACAGCAGAACCGCTCAACATGAACACTGCTGACAGTGGAGCCAGTGGGTTTTGTGCAATATGTGGAGACAGAGCAACTGGCAAACATTATGGTGCCTCCAGTTGTGATGGATGCAAGGGATTCTTCCGACGTAGTATACGGAAAAGTCATGTTTATACCTGCAGGTATTTTAAATGTTCAGCTTTAAAAATTTGGTTCATTAAACCAGTAGCAAAACAGTGCAAAAATAGCTTCCAGGCCTAATGTGCACAGTAAGATTTTCAGTCTTTGAACAATAAAGAGGATAAAACATAGTTGTTTATTAATGTTAATAAAGGAGAAAAACACATTTACTACTGACCACTCATGTCTGGAAAAAATACTTTAATACTTACCTTCCTCTCATGTGGAAGTTGCATTGAAGAAAGCCAACTTTAAGACAGTATCTTTTTACTACCCTACCATCATCTTCCACTATCTTTTACCAATTATATTTTGCTATATAGACTATATGTCATTCATCCTTAATAGCCTCAGGTTTGTTGTATCAAGACAGATCCTTGGCTTCTTTTTTGTTCTGAAAGACCTATTGACATCATTGGAGTTAGCCTGACTTACAAGAATTAGAACAAGAATTTCTTAAAGAAAAAAAATCTGTATTTGTAATAAGCAGAATTTTGATGATTTCTTACTATATTTTTGATGAAGAGGAAATTCTAAAAAAATTCTTATGACTCCTAGGCTTTAATTTAGAATTAATAAAATATATATTTTAAAGAACTCCCCACTGCTGGAAATGTTTTTCTGTTGTCCTTCAGTTCTACTGTGCTTTTTCTTTTTTGGATGCACCAAACTCTTACATGAACTAAAATGGAGACTCAAGGAGCCCCACCTTGATCACTGTCAGTCAAGTATGGAGTTGAGCACTTCTTTGGAGTACTCAGGGAGTTTTTCCTCTCTGAGGTAGTGCCAGAGGCAGACCCCCCAAAAAACTTCCTCTAACAAAACATAATTTGTTTCACCCATCATTATGCAAAACAAAAATGAGGAAATAGACTTTAATCTTGTTTCCCCTTATATTCACCATACGTTCCTTTGCATACTTTGGTAATTTCCTTTCAACTGTCTCCAAGGTGGGCTGGGTAAATCAGACCGCATTTTTCCATGTATGAGCATAAGGTGTGCTGAAAGACTTTCTTTCCTTGCCTGCCTAGGTTAGCATCCTAAGAATTTCAGTATACCCTTTGATCTGAGGTTCAGCCTTGTTAGAGTAAAACCACTACTTCAGGATTTGGGGCGTGTGTAGATGAAATGGAGGCCCTAAATTGAAACAGTGGGTTTTAAAAAACATTGCTTCAATTTAGGGCTGATTAAACCCCCATGTCATGCACACACCCTGCTGACTTACCTGGCTTTCCAGTGGGGAGGGGAGGGTGGACTGCTGGTGGGTGAAGCAGTCCCTGGGCTGCAGTGGTGGGGGCGGGACTGGTGCTTCCCTCTGTGGCAGCAGCAGCCCCCACTCCCTCAGGCAGCACCCCCCTGCAGGCACCTGGCTCGGGCAGTCCCAGGGGGCACTGCAACTGTGGAGGGAAGCACCAGGCCCCCGTGAAGCTCAGGCAGGCTCCAGGAGGGAAAAAAAATCAGACTCACTGCTTTTCTTGGGCGGAGCTGTTTTCCCAGGCTGCTGCCAGGCTGCCTGCAGGGCTTCCGGCAGAGCCCCTGAGCTGCACGGAGCCCAGTGTTTCACTCCACGGCTCTAGGGGCAGCAAACTAAAATTCCTCGAAGGCAATACACCACTGAGGCATTCAAACACTGACACCATTAAAGTGTCAGTACAAAAGCAAATGCAAAAGCATTTAACCCGCTTTAAAGTGTTGTGCACACATGCCTCTTGTTTTGTCTACACACATTATTTATTATTTTCCAAATAGTAGCTTCCTCAATATAGATTGTGAAAGGGCTCCTGCTGTTCTTTATGATTGTCCCTTACTTTTTGCTGTTGTTTGAATTCCAGTGAATTTCCCCAGTACAGAACCCTTCACTTGTGCTCTATGCTGGTTAATATCACATAGGTAAACTGAAGTGAATATGAGTATCTGAAAAAATGATACACATGGTTCCATCCGTTTCTACCTTTTCTCCTTACAAGATATTATTCCTGTCAAATGAATAGGTCAAAAATATCTTTCAGGGCTAAAATACAGAATAAAGGTTGGTGAAGGATGATAGTTGGACACATTGTTTTAAAAGCTTGAACGACTTTTTTTCACTTTTGTTAATCAAGACTTTGTCTTATTCATGTTCCAAAACATTCATCCCTTCTTGTTTTTGAAAGATTCAGCCGACAGTGTGTTGTTGACAAGGACAAAAGGAATCAATGCAGATAGTGCCGTTTAAAAAAGTGTTTTCGGCAGGAATGAAAAAAGAAGGTAAAAGATTTGTTTAGTTCATATTAAAACAAACACTTTTTCTAAATAAGGGTTAAAAAATTAGTACAAAACTAAATGAAACCCTGTTAGAAGTTTCCCATAGTACTACCATAATGGAGAATTGCTTTTGTTGTTATGTACTTTTTCTAATTTTCAAGTTAGAACAACTCTGGGAAAATATAAATTCAGATCTGAGTTTTAAACCCATATATTCAGGAATGTTCATCTATGGTATTGTTTTTCTTCCTGTTATAGAGATACGAAGTTTGTATCTATACTTGTGTCTGAACTTATCTCCAGCAGTACTTTTAAGTCTCAAGCTATTGCCTCTTAAATTCAGTTTAAATGTTGGAAGTATATCAGTGATGTTTTAAGTACAAGTATATATAAATAAAAAAAGAGTGCTGCCAGAGGCAGCATGTACCCTTATGTGAAGGCAGCTAGTTTTGAATTTGTTAGGGCAACAGCAAAATTTGCTATCTAAATTTTTGCAAGATAAAATCATCTGAACACAAAGTTTATACCATCAATGGGCTTTTATCCTTAACAAGAAATAGGTGAAATATAAGAATTTAGTACAGATTTAAATTGCCTCATTTTGCCAGGAGGGAGGGAAGCCTGTATACTGCATGAAGTTTTACTGATTGGAAAAATATTTTGCTACAAATTGTCATTTTATTTTCAGGTCTCAAATTTGATTGGTTTTTATTATGTTGGTGCATAGAGCTGTTACTTAGGGATCTCTCTCTTGGATAATACAAGAATAGAGAGGGCACAGTGACCCTATGTGGCAATATCTAAGGTCCATGGGTCTGCCATCAAAGCAAGAGAAGCAGACCACTGTAAAAAGACCACAATAGCAGAAAAATATGAGTGTCATGGTGGAGTCTGCCCCAGGGCCTATTGATGAAATGATCATTTTGTGGGGATGGAAGGGTATGTGGCATGGTTGGAATCCTCTAAATGTTTAAATGAGCAATAAAAAACAGAGACTTTTTATGGTTCCTATGTCCTTAGCTTTACATTTTCTGTGAAGCTGTTTTGGTTCTGTTGTTGGCCATTAAGTTTGTTATAGTGAAATGGGTTTACAATACTTCTACATGTAGTTTTGTTAAAATAAGACTGATTTATTGTATATTTTTCTTACAGCTTTTCTTAAATAATGCTAGAAGTTGGGAGTATTTTTTTTTAAATACAGTCCTATGGTCATACATTGTTCTTAGCTACTTTAATGTAAATATGACAAATCTCCATCAAGTTCTATGGGTATAATGGAACAGAATTTAGTTCCTAGCATTTAGATCATTAAAATCAGTAAAGCACGAGATACCCCATGGAATCCTGATGTGAAAAAAATGTGGTACTTACAATTTTTTTCAGGGCACTCAAACATAATGAAACAAGTGGATGAAAAGTGCCAAACTTTCTGCCAAATGTATTGATTTTTGTTTTTTGGGGGGGTGGGGGAGGGAGAGGGAAGAGGAGAATAGATTGGTCCCTATATTTATGGGCTAAAGAGTTAATGTATTAAGCCCTATGCATATGCAACAGTAATTTGAAATATTTTCCTGGATTATGAAAGTTCACTAACTTTTATATATGACTATCAGAAAAGTGGTTTGCTTCAGCTTCTGGTTCAGTTCAACGCTGACAGTATTTTAATTTTTTTTTTAATATATTTAGTACTTTAGTTGCCAAGATACTAAGTGAATGGGGTCTGTGTCTCCAGTTAAAAAATGGTCATATTTCTTGTTTCATCTCTACATGAACATTTATTACTTAGTGTTTATCACTGCACAACATTTCTTATTATGACCTTAATAAAAGGCCCATCATTAAATGTCCTTGGCAAGAAAGTTAGTGCACCTCTAGAATAAGGTCTGTTCATTCTTCATATAAACTACAGGAAACTATGCAACGTATCGAGAGAATTTTTATTGAAGCTTTTGATGCTACTCCTAAACTTCTGTCAAGCAGACTGTTTCTCACAAAATAACTGACATATTGGAAATAAAGCTGCTTCTCTTAGAGATGATGAGATTCTTTGCACAATAAGGAAAATTGTTGATCAGCACAATACTTTTTTTTCCCCTGTCTCCTTGGCTTAACCTTTGATGTGGTCTAGGTCTTAGGGACTGTGATTGATAGTTTTATTTATCCTGTTTATTCCTGAATTAAAAAGTAAGCTCTGTTGTTTCATAAGTCATTTTCTGGTCTCATTAAAGGTTTCTTATTGTCTTTGCCACCCTCCCTGGATCTCAGAAGACAAAACCCATCTTCTTGGAACTTTTTTTTTTTAATTTTATTTATTTTTTGCTTATTTATCGTTATAAAAACTGGCTAGTAATTGCAAGTCCCTGAGGAGGAGCATAAGATTTCATTTTTACAATTACTTTACTTTTGGATTAAGTTCATTATTCATTCTCGTTTCAGTCTCTCTCATAGGAAAGGGTGAGCATGAGCACAGCTTTCAGAATTTCTGTGACTCGGACACTCTGTCAGTGATTGTGCTGAACTCTGACCTATTCAACAGGACTGGGACGTCTCTTTCTATCATTATCATAAAGCCTCATTAATTAAGGCTGGTGGAGTGGCAAGCCAAACAAATTACCAAATGTTGTCAAGCTTAAAGAAGAAAATGTGAGACGCTGCTGTAATAAAGATGGTCACAAACACGCTGATAACTCAATGTCCCACAGCAATTAGAAATGAATAATTTTAGTGACAAATATTATTACACAAATACATGTACAAATCTACTATCACCCTTTTCTTATGGCTCACAGAGGTGAAACTCCAAGGTCCTGCTCTTGATACATGTATTTATATAATAAACCTCTGAAATTATGTTCAATGACATTAACTACAAGCAAATAAATTGGATGATTATTCTTTTCTAGCTGTACAAAATGAGCGGGACAGGATAAGTACGAGAAGAAGCACATTTGATGGCAGCAACAGTCCCTCTATTAACACATTGTCACAGGCTGAGGTGCTTTCCCGTCAGGTACAGTAATCCAGAACAAAGTTTTTGAACATAACTTCTTGATTTTTTTCATAATTATTTCTCATAGTTAAATATTTTCTTTATTTATTGTGCAAAATATAGTTATAGAGGCTATCCAGGTATCCTGTTAGCTTCTCCTTCCTAATGTAAGAATGTAAATGTTGCATACTTATATTTTCTCATAGCAAAGTCAATGAGATGGTCACTTGAGAAAATCTACTTGCATTTTGTACATTATGTCCTAAACCTCTCTTTAGTAACATTTTATGATCTTTGACTTTCAAATTAAATACTGTTTTAAACATTTGGTGACATCAATCTATTCCTTGAGACTACATTTTTAATTAAACAGATATCCAGTATAATTACATTTCAATGGGATTTGGGTATCTAATTCCCTTGGATTCTTTTGGCAACTCTACCTTTAATTATTTGGATTGTATACACGGGGAAATTGTCGTCTCACACAGTGTTTATGAACACTCTTTAATCTGAACCAAAATCCCTCCGCACCTTTTATTCCAATTGTTGAGTGGAATAGTATCCAGTACTTTCCTGGAACTCCAATAAATCACAGCCATTGATTCTACATTTTCTTACTGCTTAGTAATTTGCTCAGAATTTAACTGCCACCATCTCTATTTTATAATTTCATTCTGACTGATTTATACTAAGCTATATGTCCACAAATATTTTGTAATCTTGTCCCTTACCAGCATCTTCCCTAAGAAACTGCTGTCTCTGAGAGACTTCCATAGCCATAATGCTCCTTTGATCCATCTTTGTTCCTCACTTGAATTAGAGAATGAAATTAGCAATTCAGAACTAGGCCAGTACTAATGAGCCAGTTGTAGAAGCCAGAAAAAAGCTCTCCAAAGCTTTTTGCATTCTCCTATTAAATTCTAGAATGGTAGGATATTAAGGGTGTTTTATCTAAGCCTTGTACTTTTTCTCTTTGTTATTGACAGTAACAAGTCAAGTAAACACAGTCTTGTGCTCAGAAGCTATATGATAATGGGCATATTAAAAATGAGTAGAATAAGCAAGCAAGATGCATATTCAAGGAAAAATCACCACTCATTCTTTGTTGATTATCTGAACAACAGATAAGCCTGAACTGACTATGTAGTTTTCCCTAGTTTGAGGAAACATTCTCATCTTGGTCTAAGCCACACAATGCTGCTGCTTTTATTTCCATAATGTCCTAAACAAAGGCCCTAAAACCAAACAAATCTGCACTCTGGAAAATTTGGATCCATACTTTGGAGCTTCTGTTCATCTCTGTGACAGACTTATAGTGATAACCTAATTAATGACTAACTTTATCTTTGAGCTCTGACTTTTGGCTGCCATTCCAGGCATCTTGATATTTGAAAATGTTTGTATATTCAAGATTGATGCAGAAAGTTCCCTGGCCCATGCAGGAGGTCAGGCTGAGCCAAGAGGTTATGCAGACAGTCAGATTAGATGATCATGATGGTCCCTTTTGACAATTAAATCCATGGCTATCTTCACTTTCCTAACACTGCTTTGAATTTATTGATAGTACACTTCTGTATATTTGTATCCATCTAATAATTGCTAATGGGCATGAACAGTTGTAAGAGTGGTTTCTTAGACAGCTTTGTGCTAAATATCCCAGTGATATTGCTTTCTTTCACCAACAGGTGTTTCCCATCACAAATTATACCTTCCAAAGATTAAATATAAATATCAAACAATAAGATTAAAATATTTCAGTAACATCCAGATGCCCTTAGATGGATCAGCCCCCACTGTTTCAAGTATATATGATAATATAGTCGCTGCCCCACAGAGCTAAAATGAAGAGTAACACTCCCAAAATACTAAATATTGTTCTCTGATCTTCAGTTAAACATGTTAATATATCATTATATTGTTATTCTGGGCCTCCTGAAAGAGGGTAATGAAGAGATTGAAGGGAAGGAAAAACAATGAAGAAACCACAGAGATAGTGTCTTCATTGTTATTTCTTTCTTTTATATATAAAATAAAAGATTTCTCCCTGAAATTCCTGTCTACATAGAGTTCAAAAGAGCTTGCTGTTCATTGCTTCAGTTCAACAAAAACACTTCTGCTTCAGGTGTGCAGGGTTAATGCTACATAACTGGGGAAGAACTGGCCATGGTCTGTTAGGAGTGAGGCTAAGAATCATCAGTCTTTAGGGATACAGTACAAAAAGATAATACTCATTCACTCAGCGTGATTTACCACCTCTTCTTTATGGTACCCTAAAGGTTAGGGAGGTTGGGACAGTAGGCAGGGGTCAATAGGAAGGCTAGGGAAGCACAGCTATGGGGAGAGGTTTAATTTATGAAAATTCAGTGATTCATCTATTTTAAATCTAGAACATGTTTTATCATCCAGACTGGGTACAGACATTACACACAAACTAGTATAAGTGATCAGAAACCAGTCTAAAAAGGGGGGGGGGGGGGGATAGGGAGGTAATGTGGAGGGCTTCACCCCATCCCCTCCAACTATGCTAGCTTGGGGGGGGCAGGGCAGGGCAGAGGCCTCACCCCTCCCCTGTTCCCTCCTCCACCAGTGGCAGCTGCTAAGGGGTGTGGCACAGATGTGGCACTCCAAAATAAACAAGTTTAAATTTTATAAACCTATTTAATTTAATAAGGATTAAAACCTGTGGTGTGTACAGGCACCCCTGTTGGTTACCAGTCATTTTCAATGACATTTTATTCCAGGATACTGACTTACATAGAATCAGTGAATGTCAGCTTAAAAACTCGATCCCTGTATGTTGTCCCAAGTCATGATTTCACTGTGAGTCTCTATATAGTTGCAGTGTTAGGTTCAGGATGTTATGACCCAAAGGCATGATTTTGTGTGTGCTTCGGCACCAGAATTATCCCCGCCAAGTTGCAGCTTCATTGCATGGGAGAGTTTCCTGTTGCAGAGGAAAACCCCGGTGCAGGGACGAGTTTCCCGCCTTTCTGCAGCTTCTTTTGCAGAGTGCATTGCTCAAGTTGCAAGAGAAATGCACGGTGCAAAAGAGTTCCCGCCACCGGTATGCAAATTCGTTCCCTGCTATTGGCTAGTTTTAAATTATTCCCACGTGGCGGCTAACGATTGGCCTGTTAGCCGTATAAGAGGCTTGAGCAGTTTCTGCCCAAGCCGAAGAGGACTCCACATCCATCTCGTGGGGACTCTGGATACACAGCAGGGTAATAGAGACCCTGTGTGAGATTCAGAGGAGCTTGGTGACCTGATCCATCGCCCACCTCTTCCCGTCTTCAATCGCAAATTTTATAACACGTATCTCCGATTTCGATTTTGGTGGCACGTTCACCCAGAGCATCCGGAGCTCTGTTCCGTGGAGCCTAGCAAACTCCACGTGACTGTTCGTGTTGTCTGTGTCTGTAACCGCAACTCAAGCAAGTTTTCCAGCCTACACCACTGCCATCTCGGTGTAAGTAAACAATCTTTAAAACTACCGCTAAGCGTTTGTGCCTAATTCCAGCTCGTCGCCCTCCCTCTCCGATCCAGCGTGCCCGGGCTGCTGGCCACAGCCCGCATGCAGCATGGAAAAGGGCTCGGGTCGCTCCCGGCCCGCACACAGGACTAGGTAGGCATGAAGATATTTGGTAGCCAGCATAATGCAGCACTAAGAACCAGAACTTCTCTAACATGGCATGCATAGAGAAACACATTAAGATAACTGCACTGCTTCTAGTTTGAGATATAGCACATGAAGGATGGATATGGTGTGTTTCTTGGCCTCTGTGTATGTTTTTATAATAAATACATGGATCTTAGTGAAAAGTGTTTCCTAGTTTCTGCATAGTTTTGTCTTCATTTGCTTTTATTGTAACAAGCCTAGTATTGTTTTGGGGTTTTTTTAAGAAATTGTTGAGGATTTCAGGATTCACCTCACCAGTCATCCAAGAATGCTCCAGTTTTAGCGCCAGAAAGATACTTCTTTCTCCATATTTCACAGAATGCTGTGAACTGATGGTAGCCATATGCAGAGTTGGTACACTTTCTCTGAAACATTCATATTGGTTCTTTACTTCAAAGTTTTCTCTTTAGACATTTAAACCTGTTTTATCTTTTTGAGTTAAACATATATATCTTTTCACTGAATCTTCATACTTTTGGTAGATCTTTCTGAGTGCCTATAACTTTATTATATATTCCTTTGAGCTTTTTCTTTGTAAAATGAGATGAAGGTCTACTGCATTCAATGCAAGAATAAATAAATAAGTACAAATGAAACAAACCAAGAATAATAAGGACACTAGGATCTTAAAGACAGTTATCGCTTAGAAGAAGGAGCTCCTGTAATGTTTAATAAGCATGATTCTTATTGTAATAAAGTACAATGCTAAAATAGTAACAATGGAAGATTACATGTTATAATTTATGTGCAAGATGATGGTCTCTGTTTTATCAAAAAATCAATGATGTGTATGATTACTTCTATATATTTTGTTTAAATTTAAATGTACTGTGAATCAGTGGAAACATATGACATAATAGCATGATATATTTTTTATATCTTTTTTCTCAATATGACCAGATCTCTGTCTCAAATACTGGTGCTAATACTGACATAAGTGTAAAGAAAATTGCCACTATTGGTGATGTCTGTGAATCTATGAAGCAGCAGCTTTTAGTCCTTGTAGAGTGGGCTAAATATATCCCAGCCTTCTGTGAACTACAACTGGATGATCAGGTATATAAATATATATACATTTCTATATAAAACAATTAGAGTAACTTGGTTATTTTTCAGTTTTTCATTCAAGTAGAAATGCTGTGTGATAATTCCTGTCTGGTCTGGCTCATCAGTTCTGGGTGCTGGACCCCTGTTTTGAAGCAGCTCTTCAAATACCCCACAAAAACTAACAGAATTTGAAGTACATTTTGTATGTTAGGGCGATGACAGAAATGATATCTGTCATATGGTTGGTCCATTGAAAGTACTCTACAGCCATACCCTAACAAAAGAGCATGGCTGCAGAGTGCTTTAAAAGTGCCCAATTGCATGATAAACTAACCCTCATTACATGAGGGTTCTGAGGAAGGAGCTCCAAAGCAGAGAACCTTCATTAACTTCTGTCTGATCAAGCATCAGCTCAGTCCCTGCCCTGCCCCTGCGAGGGGGAATGGAGCTCTGGGCTGGGATTTGCTCAGCTTGTGATGACGGGGGACAAGGGAATGGGAGCTCCAGTCCATGCTCCCCCTCCAGTGCAGGTTTGGAAATCCCAGGCTGGAGCTCTGTTCCCTCTCTTATCCCCCTCCCATCATGCAGAGAGCACTAGAGCTAGGAAGGGCAGGGGGTGGGGGGTGGGCAGGGGACAGAGGCTGCAGGCATGCTGCTCTTCCTGGATCAGCTCCAAAGTGGAGCGCAGTCCTGCCCCCCTCCCCGCACCAAACCAATAGCGAACGTCTGTTGGGTTGGGGGGGGAGGGGCGAGGAGGGGTTGCTGTAGATTATGGCATTTTTCGTGAAGTGCCATGAGTTACAGCAGGGAGCTACATTTCTGTCAGTGCCCTTAGAGAAAAGGGTAAAAATCTTCTCACTGGAAATTTCAAAAGACCAGCCCTTCTCATAGAATATTGCTATTTTCATCTTCACCAGAAATTCCAAAGGCATGCAAATATAAAAAATAATGATTTTAAAAACATCATTCAAATGTTTGCAAACCTTGATGGACATTTGGTTCATGTTCAACTTCAGCTGTTTGTAAAGTATGAGACAGCGTGCTTTTTAATTTGAAATAGCTACCCCATGCTTGCAAGATATATATGCCATCAGAGTCTTTAGCTGCAATCAAACATACTGATGCCAATCCACAGCAAATAATTTGCCACAGAATGCAATATATTAGGAGATTGGAAATAGCATTTTTAGCATTGGAAATGATCTTGTGAAATTTATCTTAATCTGAGTCAAAGATTTATTCTAAGCTTGTATAAAGTGCACACATTCTCCCCATGGATGTAATATATCATCACTTTTTGATAAGCCAGATACCCACTGACTGGAGAATGAGAACCCTAAAGTGAATTCAGAAACTGTATCTTCATGTTCTTTTAGCTAGTACTGTAATGAAGCAAGTGATTGGGAGGTTAGTTTACTGCTAGGAAGACGGCAGGGCAGAGTGGCACCGTATGGATTCACTCCTGACTTCAGAGAAGCATGATTTTCCTCAGACACTATGAAATATGAACTAGAGTCTGACAAGGTATAACCTACAAAAGTTTATGCTTCTCTGAATGAGTTAGTCTCTAAAGTTCCACCCTGTCCTGCCTTCTGCCTGACTTCAGATTAATATGACTAACCACATCTTTTGCTAAGAATCTCCTGATTTTCATCTTTGGAGCTAGGTACAGACATTCTCAAAGCCCAAGGTGGAATCAGTCTCAGTTAAGTGATTTTTTGTAAACAGCGTAGGTTCGATCGGTAACTAACAGAACACACACTTGCCTTTTGTTGGGGGCACAAATCTTAGATCAGTTTCTGCCATTTTTAAACCAATCTATGTGTGCTGAACTTCCGTTCTGTTATGGGTATAGACCTATTTCTGATCACTTCGTAATTTCTGTACCTGGCCTTGAAATGTGCTTCAACTCTGAAAATGACTGTAAAAATGGCTTGGTAGAATTCCAATTTGCTGTGTTTACAGCATCAAACATTTCAAGTTTGCAATGAAAAGGATGACGAGAATATTACATCAGCGCTACAATTTCAGCTTTGGGTCAGAGAGTCAATCTTGGATCATTCCTCTTCATCTTCTCCAGTAATACCAATGCTTCAGGGCAAAGAAGACCCTTTCAAATGATGATCTCAGTAATTCTCGTGTAAATCTAGAGTAGAGGATAGATTTTCACACATGTAAAAGACTTGAATAAAGAATTATGTTAGGGAAGAAAGAATGGAATCCAGATTGGCCTTTTAGTTGGGTTGATTGGTGCAGGGGCAGGAAATGAAAAAATAAGCAATATGACTTGCTTTTATGGCTTAGGCTGGCATGAAGGAACTGGAAAAAGACCAGATTGCTGACTAAGAATCTGCTCTTTTCAGAGTAAAAGTCCACCTTGGAACAGATCTTTACAAAATTGAACCTACATTTAAAACCACAGAAATATTTCTCAAACTCTAAAACTACCTCAGAAAACCTAATCCTTTCTCAGGTGCTTGTGTATATATGATAAACATTGGCTGCATTTAGTTACCATTGCTGCAAAGGTTTGTGCAGCTCTTTCTGACCTCAGAATCAACTGAGTTTACAAACAACAAAGCAAACAAAAGATGTGTTAGGTCTGTTACAGCGGAGATTCTGAAAGTTTCGTAATTTGAATTTTGTTTCTTCAGCCAGCTTTGAACATCTCACCCTAAAATTACAAAAGGGAAAAAATGCATTTGCATAATGGAAAAAGAAAAAAATCCATAAGAAAATAGATCTTTCTGCCAAGCTTCTAGAAGGTCATTGTAAACAATGGAATGTAAATAGAAAATGTAAAATGTTAAACTAGTGAGCATTTTTTAACTGCCTTCCTGGTATGAATCAGGTTTATTCTTTATTGACTATAAGAAAGATACTTTGTTTTATAAGTTTTGCCAGGATTTCATTATCCATATACCACAGCAAAATTAGCCTGTTTGACTGCAATACTAAACGGTTCTCTGTTATTCTTACAGGCATTCTAATTTTAGTGTTGTGCATGGTGTTTCTTAGTTGTTTGCTTATTAAGAATTAGCAGTTGTAGCAAAACTGTTTGCTGGTTGAATTGCCCATTTACTTCCTGTTCTCTAAAAGCTAAAATAAGAGGCCTTGGAGCTAGTGAAATTGCCTCAATAGAAGGTAGATCCATGGTGCTTTTATACTTTGGAGGGGTAAGACAGCTCAAGTATCTTTGGGATAACTGATTCAGGCTGACAAAATGCAATAGTGTATGGTAATATTTGCCATAATAAAGCATGCTAACCTTATTACTACTACCTTTGGTACAGACTTAAAATTCAAGAGTTAACTTATATGTAAAGGAAAGGGAGATTATGAAACTGAGGTTTTATCTTGTATTCAGTGATAAACTTTTTGCAAAATCATATACCATGTTCAAATCTAGTTTATATACATTGCTCAGTAATAAACGTTACATGTTTTAACAAAATTATAGTGAAGAACTATGATAATGTTATTAAAAGTGAAAATAAATGTATTTTAAATTGTAACTGGGATAGTCTATTGACTATGATGCATTTTTCATTTTGCATTAATTTATTTTTCTGCTGATTCTTTTATTTATTTATCTTTTTTAAAGGTTGCCTTACTAAGAGCGCATGCTGGGGAACACCTGTTGCTTGGAGCAGCAAAACGGTCCATGATGTACAAAGATATTTTACTTTTAGGTAAGTATATGTTTTTTAAAATTAAGAATACTATGTTATGCTGCATATAGGCTTGGCAGAATTCAATTTTTATTTTTTAATAATCTTGATGGGTAAAATGAATGTTTGTTTTTTAAACATTTATTTTGATTTTTATCAATTTAAATGTTCAGGATTGCATGAAATTAAAGGTGTGGGGGGCAGACCATTTAGTAATAATAATAGTATACTGTTAAAAGCTTTATAAAATCACATGTCAAAATATTAAAAGTAAATTTTCATAAATCAATAAAGCATACCTACTTCAAATCATTCTGTTTATTTGGTAGCACATTCATACCAGGCTGGAGCCTTCACTCTCACAGAGGAGAGTCCAGGGGCAGGAGCCAGGGTAGGGGCTGCAGCCTGAGGCTGCTGGTGGTGCTCACTCCAGGAAGAGACTTATCAGGGGACTCCTGGCTGTCAAGTGCCACTGAATGCCCTGGATCCTGCACTGTGTGGGAGACAGTGGCTGCTCAGCCCAGATGAGGGGCAGTCTAGCCCCTTGACAGCCACATTCCACTACTCTTTCAGGCAGTGCAGGGGCAGCAGGTGAGCCCCAGGGGCACCCCCATTGGATCAGGTCAGGCTCCATGGGAGTTTGGTGTCTTCGTCTTCCCCCAAGCACACAGGAGCCAGGTCAGGCCAGGCTTGGTGGGAGGTTGGTGCTGATTGACATCTGGGACCTGGGAAGAGTGAGCAGCCAAAAGCACCAGGTTCCCAGGTGCCAACAGCCATGCCCCTTGACAGCAGGCCCCCATAGCAATGTCCCTGCTTCCATACTCTGTCACCAGCAGCTGGCATCCAACCAACCCTCAATGCCAGCACTGCCCTCCCAGCATGGCCCCAGCTCCTGTGTGGGCAGTACAGCCAGGGCTCCCCCAACCCTGCCTGCAACAACTGCTGTGTGTATGTGTGTGGGTGCGTGCACGCATAAGTGCAGTGTCCCCTGTCCCGGATTTCCTTACCCTATCCCAGAATTTTTCTTTCCCTTATGTTTCTTTTCTATACTTTTCTATTATTACTTATGGAAATATGTTTTTGTCAGTCTGTGAATGTGAGGTGAAATTGACATTTCTCTATGTTTAGCAATAAAAGTAGAATCCTGCCAAGCCTAACGATATGTTACTTATTTTACTAACTACTAGGGAATCAGCCTCCCAATAAGCAGCATGCTCAGTTAACCTGGGAAACTGCCATAGCATAATCAGCATGATTCATGCCAGTGACTCCAAACAATTTTCAGTGACAAACTTATATTGTCATATGCCATGCTGTATGTAAAGCATGAGCAAATTAGTCTACTGCAAATTAAATTTACTGCTGTCCTATTGGCAGCAGAAACCTGAGCATGCTTAGTACTTTCAAGTGACCTTCTTACTCTAGTAAAATGTGTGCCACAATTGATCCATGTCATGACACACTAGCAAGCTTTATCTAGGTTAGTAATCTACATGGTACTTGGTAATCTTTTCAAAATCTTTCTAAATGTCCCCAGAAAGCATCTTCATGTGGACCAGGGTGTAGAAAAGAGCAGGTCTAGGGCAGTGATTCTCAGCCTTTTAAAACTTGAAGCACCCCTAGATAGACCCCTAAAAAATGCCAGTGGTTAGGGTATTGCAACCGGTTCACCCCATTTAATACCTGTGTACCTTATGGGGCTAGAATCTATTCTACCGAGAGAGTACCTAATAAATGGAACAGAATCTGGCTCAGTGCGTGTGCATAAAGCCCTACTACTTCCTTTATTACTCTACTTGGAAGGTGTCCCAGAAATGGCTTCTTTGTATAAAATGAGAAAAAGAATAATTTTAAAATGCAAGTTATAGGAATATCTGAAAAAATTAAGCCAAGAAAATTCACTATTATGTGTTTAAAGGAATGTGTACTGATTAGTATCCTTTATCAATACAGTGAAGTATTGGATAGTACCACTTTTCATACAAAAGTAAGCATTTTATTTCTCTCTAGACATTTGCTCACATTAACTTCAGCAGGAAGCAGGACCAGGATTTAACCAATTTATATTTTTCTTATTAGTATCATCCATAGTGATTGGGATGCTTGAAATACATAAGGCTATCTACCAGAAATAGGAGTCCATAAAGCTATTACTTGCTGTATCTCTTCTAAATAAAATAAACTAGAAGCAAAATAACTTAATATTTCAGTGAATTATAATATTTCCAGTGACCACATTTCAAAGTGGCCTTTTCTGGCTTTTAAAACTGTGCATACAGTTTTCCAGAAGATTTATTGCTTCTACTGGATCAAATATGCCAAGATAGACTTGTGCATCCAATTAGATAGAAGGCTAATTGGAAGACAAACAAATTTGTGCATATAATATAGGCTTTGATCCCACAGTCACTTATACTATTTAGTAAATGTATGTATAATGAAGTATTCACCTTCATAAAAGCTTACAGGATCAGGCTTGTATTTTGCACATATATATTTAAATGTAGTTTTGTTGAGAGAATTTCTGCTATAAAAAATTCAAAGTGCAATCATTTGATGATCTAAAATGTAAAAGCTGATTTTGAAAATTTGTTCCATATAGCTCTTCACATTGAAAACTTTATGTAATATCAATTTATAAATCAGTATATTTCTTTTCAAGGTAACAATTATATAATCCATCGCAACAGTTCCGAAGTAGAAATCAGCCGAGTGGCAAACCGGATTCTAGATGAACTAGTCCGGCCATTCCAGGAAATCCAGATAGATGACAATGAGTATGCGTGCTTGAAAGCAATTGTGTTTTTTGATCCAGGTACAGTTTCCAGAAAGTCTTTCAAAATAATTGTTCCAATACTGATACTGAAATTCATCATGATGATGTAACATTTATTTGCATATTATATGTATCTGAACAAAAAATGGCCATTCCATGAATCTGCCTTACCCTGAAGTATTTTCTTTTCAAGATGCAAAGGGACTCAACAATCCATTAAAGATTAAGAACATGCGATTCCAAGTCCAGATAAGTTTAGAGGATTACATTAATGATCGTCAGTATGACTCCAGGGGAAGGTTTGGAGAACTTTTGCTTCTGTTACCTACACTGCAGAGTATCACCTGGCAAATGATTGAGCAAATACAGTTGGTCAAACTATTCGGAGTGGTTAAAATTGACAGTTTGCTTCAGGAAATGTTACTAGGCGGTGAGCATATCACTATCATCATATTATATTCCATATGATATTCATATGTTAAACACTTTGGGTGGGTGGGGGAACCCATGAGATTGCTCAGGCTTAGTGGGAATGAATAAATATTAGCTGAAGTCACTTAGGCTCACTAGTCATGGTCTTACAGTTTCAAGGTGCACTGTGTCCTCAGGCATACCTGTCTGCCTGAGTATATCTAGGGACAGATAAGCGAATCATTACAAGCTTAATGAAATCCACTGTTAATACAACCCAAACAATGAACACAAACATGGTACTTAATATGGATGAAGTCTTGCTAAATTGTTTAATGAATACCCCAAAACTACCATTCAAATTAGCAATCAAAAGAATATTTACCTGATGGAACTGTAATTATCACAGTGTAGATTACACACTGTAAGTAGCAACGTCTTCATCACTTGAGCTAATATATGTTCATATTATTTTTGCAGGCAATTCTAATGATGCTAGTCATATTCATCATCCAATGCATCCTCATTTGGCCCAAGATCCATTAACTGGCCAAACTATCCTCATAAGTCCGATGTCCACCCCTGTACATACGGAACAGATCTGTAAGTAGTTGCAATTTAGTTTTTTATCATAAAAATGTCACTGTCAAGTTGAAGCAACTGCCAAATTCACTAAAATGGTAGCCTATTGATGCTAGTGTTCATTTCTTTCATCATAATTCCTGGCATATAAATAATCATACATTAAAAATACCTATAGGCTAAGTACAGACAGTCAAAAAGCCTGAGGCTGAATTGATTCAATCTTTGCAGGTTAGTCTAAAATGCATAGATTGAACTGATAAACAAGTGAACAGACATTCACTTTTGATTCTGGAAATGTAGCCACATGCCTGCAGTGGCCCAGACCAGAAGCCAGGAGGTGCTAGAGCATGGCTCCCTGCTTGGCTGGGGCAGACAGCTTTGGTCAAGGTTAAACCACCAACCCTGAGAAAGGAGGCTTGCAGGAGCAGTGCAAAGCATTTTGTGATGCTGGGAGATTGTGAGTTAACTTGGATCTGGAGTGGTCTGGGACAGAAGTTCAATACATTGATTTAACCTAAGTCAGTTAAGTTTGATACTTAGGGACCTACCAATTTAGCAGATTTCACAGATTCTGCAAAATCTAGCATTGCCTGTGATATCCAGGCAATGCTGCAAAATCCACAGAATTCATGGTGGGAGCAGAAATAAAATAAAATTCTTGCGGGTGGGGGAGAGGAAGAACAGTGCTGCCCGCTCTAAGGCATTGGGGGGGGCTTCTGTGCTCTGCTTTTGAAATGGCTGCCCAGGCAGCCCCTGTGAATTACATAGGTTCCTACTGAAAGTACATCCATCCAGGTTTATCTTAAATGGGTTTTCACTATTTTGAAAGTCATTTATGTGCACTGAACTTCTGTTGTGTTACAAATTTGAACCACTTTCCGATCACTTATACCGTGTAATGCATCTCCTTAACCCTGTTGTGTTATAGATTTGAGCCACTGTCTGATCAATTATATCAGTTTATATTATATTTAATTTCTGTCCTTAGCCATAGGAACAAGATACTAAGCAATATAATTGGTTTGGTTTTAGCGTAAAACACTTAACACTTTTTAATATTATCATGGGTGACGTGCTGATTTAAAAAAATGAATATGTACCTCATGAGACTAATGCAGGAATTTACTTTTGTAGGCTACAGCAGTATGTGCATCCTGAATATGTATATAGATCAAACAAGATTATAATATATAATTTCCCTTTAATTCTTTTTTAGCAACTCCAGAAACTCCATTGCCATCCCCTCCACAGGGCTCTGGACAAGAATACAAAATGTCTACAAATCAGGCTACAGTCATTGCACATCAATCTATTTTGAAACAAAAGCCATTGTGATAATGTTTCTTTTTTTTTCTTTTATATGCACTGTATAAATTGTTAGGACACCTGAACACTGGAAATCTCAGGATAATAAATTATATCTTGTTCTGTTTTAAAACTTAGAAAGCAAAGCACACTATGCAGATTATATTGGTGTATATGTGTGTGTGTGTATATATATATATATATATATACACACACACACACACACACACACACACATATTTGGTTAACATTTTTGGATCATTTAATTGAACAGGTTCATTTTTTATTTTACATTTGTAGTTGTCATCTGTTATTTTAGATATGTACATACTTTCTTCATTGAGATGCAACTCTGATTTGTGCTTATTTAGCTATGAATGGTAGACCTGAAAGTGTGGGTTAAGAAAACAATAGCCAAGATTCCATAACAAATATCAGAGTAGGATTTTAAACAGAATATATGAATTAAATGTAAAGTGAAAGTACTTAATGGAAGCAAGTCCTGGTTTATTAAAAACTCCTAACGTGGGGAAATCATGCCCCTGATAAACATCGTCAACATAAGAATTAAATTTGTTGAATGACATTTCATAAATGTTATTCAACATAAATTTGTTGTCATGTTTACCTATCAGTTTGGATGGACATGATAAAAATGAGAAGGCCAGCAACATAGAGAAATGAGCAAAAAGCCCCAAACAAGCAACCATGAAATGTGGGTTTGTGAACCTTATTTTATTCTGCACGTGCACTATGTTTATGTAACTTATTGGTTAGTATGTGAATTGTCGGTCTGTGATCCACAGAGGACATGATCTATAGTCTCCAACTAAAGTGGTTGGGTTAGTACAAGCTGTAGCAGACCATGTTTTTACTTTTGTTAGTTCCCAGTTAAAACCATGGCATTTTGCCTAAGATAGTGGCCATTGAGCAAGTATGCAGTTGGGTATTCATCCAGAACTGGAATGTCAGTGAGCTTCTATCGCTTGTGATGAGTCCCCACTTCTGTGAAGGCCGTCACCTTGAGTAACACAACAGAAACTGAACTCAGGGCCTCTAAAGCTATCAGCAGGACCTGCTATAGCTTAAACTAAAGAGGTAAACTTCTATGGCTAGGTCCTGTAACAATGGACAGTCCTCCATAGCTGAACACAGAGGGGGATCTGTAACATACTGACCAGTGGTTACATTTGCACACAGTTAGTATTTAATGTGACACTGTATTCACCGGGATTTAAAGAGACTGTATTTTGCTGCACTGTCATTCAGGAAATGACATCACAAAAATACCACTTTGCACCGTCTGGTTTTTCCTAATAGCAGTGATAATTCTTTTTCTATTTAATGGAAACTTTCTTTCATAAACAGTTAACTAGAAATTGAAAATGCAAAGAACTAAATAATATGGGTTGTTAGATTATTTTAATGAAATTGCACATTAGAGTCAGATATATGGTATGCTCTGGCTTTAGTTGCCTTAATTTATTGTAGCATCAGAAAACTATGCCACCATCATGGTGCCACTAACTTGATGGATAGTAAAATAGTACATACCCATCCTTAAAAACTCACAGTCCCTTTTGTGCAGACAGCCACAAAATAATATAACGTAGGAAAAATTAAGTGTTGATTTGAAAATGTCTAAGGTTTTAATGAGTTCACCCAGCACCAAACAAAATATAAGATACTTTATGGTATTTGTAGTTATTTTATAAACTGCAAGCCTTTAAAAAATATTTTTTCTCTGTCTACCGGTTATTTTTAAGAAAGAGCATATAGTAAATTGCTTTATGGAACAGTAACAACTCCTTGTTCTCTTTTTGGTGTGTATTCTTCACTTTTTGTTAGTAGAATAATAAATTACTAACAGTGGCCTTGCATATATTTCTGTTAATGTTGAGAAATTCAATGTTAATGTCAGTGGAACAGGACTGTTTGCTTTGCATGCATAGAGACTGAGTCTTTTATGAAAAAAATTAGAACCTGTTTCTGATCGGTACTGACCCATGTAACTCCCATTTAAGTGATTGTACTTATTCCTGAAGCCAAGGAGTCCAATAGCAAAGCTCCAAGCACTTCTATAGGAATAAGATCTGGTCTACTGTTTTAAGGCTCAGCATATTTCACAACTGAAGTCTCACCCTGTTTTGGTTTGTTCTGTAGTATCCCAAAATATTTTTTTTGAATCCTCATATAACTGATACAGAACCAGACTTTGAGCTTTGTTTTTACACTGTAGTTTAAACAGAGTATGTACAATAAAATGTTTTCACACACTGCCAAAATACTAGATTAAAGCATGTAACATAGCATTTTGTCTTTCTGAAGGATGTTATCTATTTTATGCAATATATTACATTGTCAAATAAGAATGTCACTACTGTAATTTATTGGGGAATGCTGATTTATTTTATAAATGTTACATTATTTTTGTAAATTTAATTATGCAAAATCAAAAACGATTACCTTTGTTAAGCATTAAATTATCCTAAATTAAACGATGTGTTTGTCTAGTGAGCATGCAGGATAGAAATAGTTCCTGGAAAAGTTTCCGAACTGCTTTTCATCAGTGCTCAATAAACAGATATGCAATGTATGTGTATGCCAAATCTGCCTCCTGGGCATTTTTTTTTTTACTATTTATATACTTTCATGTAAACAAAGAAAGTGTTTTATATCGCTTTACAAATAATTACCCAAAAGATAGCAACCCACATCTTTACAGTGTTCAAATTGAATTAAAAATATATGATGGTAACATTTTGGGTGCTTGTGATGTAGTGTTGCTAAGCACCACATATCCATAGTTTTCATTTTTTTAAATTCTAACTCAGAAAAGAATTAATATTAATGCTTAAATCCATCTGTGCTTAAATTTATGTATTTGTTAAACAACCATTTTTATATACAGATGGTTTCACAAAGTGGGACCTTTTTGCTTTACAAGTCTATGGACTTGAAATTACTTGACTGGTTTAATTTTGACAGTTTAATGGTGGCATATTTTTAGCAGTAGATGTTTAATTTTTTTAAAGATTACTTGCAACATAATGTATTATGCAATCAGCATCTGCTTGCCTTGGGCAGACTGTTTCACAGTTTCTCTCTCTCAGATGTTATTTTTTTCAGTTGTTTTTGCAAGATCTGGAGTAATCTGAAGTGTAGACCTGCAGAGGAAAACTGATTGTGTGTATTTAGGGGTGACTGAACCTAGATTTTTGAAGTTACCATTCTTCAGGCCCCTTGACCAACCTGTGTCTGTGACTGATTATTCCAGATCATTCCAGCTCCCTTACTTGTAATGCTGAATTGAATGAGGGGAGATGGAACGGGGAAGACTTTCTCTCTTGCCATGGAGAAAACATGGAAAAATCCCTAAATCTTTACTGTACACAGCGCTGAGAGCCTTTTCTTAGAGTGTCTCTAAGTGCTTTACAAACACTTGAACATCATAGTGCCACTGTGCAACTCTAACAAGGATGAGACATATTGTAGAGTGAGGGGCAACTTTACCACATCTCTTCTGTAATCTCTACACACAATTCCTCCCAGTTGAGGAATTCTGAAGGGTGGTGAGTCTACTACTCGAAATCAGGAAACTTCTATGGGAGGAAATTTGACATTGTCCGCTGCTGAAAAGATCTTGGTTGATAATTGTAGAGTTGACAGTTCTGTTCTTGAAGGATGTCTGTCCCTGTATAGTTAACTAAAATATTTGTCTTTCTAGCAGACTATGGCAACTATTTCTACATGGGCAGTTCCAGTTTTTGTATAAACTTTTTCTGATGCTTTTGAAGCAATGCATCGTCCATTACCCATCTTTTTTTTTTAAAAGCTCTTCCTGTTTTCTCATCATATCCTTGTTGCAAAGACCTTTGTTTACC